TGAGTTATATGATTATTTTACTTGTTATTATAATGTACATAAATAAGTTTTTACAAGTAAACATTATATCGTGTTATAAAAATTTAACACGTTTATTAATAGTGTCCAATATTTTAAAACGATATCTTTTTACAGGTTATTATTATTCAAGAAAATTCAAGAAAAACTAACTACAAAAGATGTCAATAACATTAATTTTTACAAAATTTATCATTATTTATTAGAACACTGAGTTATATGATTTTTTTACTTGTTATTATAACAAATTAATTACTATAACATTGCAATAAATAATATTTAATATAAAAAATCTTGGCGCGGCTGCACCAAAAACTATTTCGAAGATGTATATACATAAAAGTCTAATTAAATATAAAATATTACACCGTATATATAGACAGAGAATTTACAAGTACATTTTATTATAATAAAAATGCTGTCATGTATGTATTAAACAAGTTTTAGTCCGACATTTTTTGGTGCAGCCGCGCCAAGATTTTTTGTATTAAATATTTTTTATTGCATTGTTATAATTAATTTGTTATAATAACATGTAAAAAAATCATATAACTCAGTGTTCTAATAAATAATGATAAATTTTGTAAAAATTAATGTTATTGACATCTTTTGTAGTTAGTTTTTCTTGAATTTTCTTGAATAATAATAACCTTTAAAAAGATATCTTTTTAAAATATTGGACACTATTAATAAACATGTTAAATTTTTATAACACGATATAATGTTTACTTGTAAAAACTTATTTATGTACATTATAATAACAAGTAAAATAATCATATAACTCAGTGTTCTAATAAATATCATTTTTACTTGTAAAAACTTATGTACATAATAAATATATATCTTAGAAAAAGGAAATAATTTGAATTTGAGATTTCTAAAAATATTAAGTATATGATTTCTCAGTTGGCGTTACTATTTTAATATATCACTTCTTTTGTATAAGTTTTACTTGTAGAAACTTATGTTATGTACACATATATACTTAAAAAAAATAATTTGAATTTGTAATAATAGTAAACCTTTAAAGAGATATCTTTTTTAAATATTGAACACTATTAATAAACGTGTTAAAATTTTATAACACGATATCATTTTTACTTGTAGAAAGTAATGTTAAGTACATTATAATAACAAGTAAAACAATCATATAACTTAGTGTTATAATAAATAATGATAAATTAAATATTGGACATTACTAATAAACGTGTAAAATTGTTATAACATGATATCATTTGTACTTGTAAATCTTATGTTATGTACATAATACATATCTTAAAATAAGGAAATAATTTGAATTTGAGATTTCTAAAAATATTAAGTATACGATTTCTCAGTTGGTGCTACTGTTTTAATATATAACTTTTTTTGTATAAGTTTTACTTTTAAAAACTTGTTATGTACACATACATACTTAAAAAAAATAATTTGAATATGAAATTTCTAAAAATAGCACAATACGTGTTGCGCTTGTACTTGGCGCCTTTTTTTTACCTTTTTGTTTAAAAAGGTTATAATAAATTTTACATGTAATCATTTTTACTTGTAAAAAGTTATGTTAAGTACATTATAATAACAAGTAAAACAATCATATAACTCAGTGTTATAATAAATAATGATAAATTAAATATTGGACACTACTAATAAACATGTAAAATTGTTATAACATATCATTTGTACTTGTAAAAACTTATATTATGTACATAATACATATCTTAAAATAGGGAAATAATTTGAATTTGAGATTTCTAAAAATATTAAGTATACGATTTCTCAATTGGCGCTACTGTTTTAATATATCACTTTTTTTGTATAAGTTTTACTTTTATTAAGTATACAATAATCATATATATATATATATATATGTTATTTAAATTACGGTATACTTCGTAAAAACATACTATGTAGCACATATCGTTCAGAAACGTTTGCGAGACTTTGATAATAAACAAAATTATGTACTTGTTAATTATATATTGGTTAATTATATTGGTTAATTATATATTTGGTTAATTATATTGATCGCATTTTTTTTTTAACAAAATTAATGAAACATTTGCGTTTTCTTAAATCCACATATACTATTTATTTTGATACTTTTTGTTGGAGTATGTGGAGGAACGAGTGGATAACTACGATGATCCCAAGCTGCAGATGCATACATCCCAATATTTAAAGTCATTGATATCCTTTTTGATATTTTTTGGTACTTCTTTTCATATGTATTCGGCGTTTTCTTTTCTTTTGTAAAGACTTTTTATTATGATTTCACTGCTTTTTGTGTAAATTATTTATGTACAAATCTTATCATATTACTCTTTTTCAGCAAAGAAAATGTATGCATTTTTGAATTTCGAGGCTAACTACATTTCCTTATTTTGGAATTATAGCTATATTCGACTGAGTTAACTACAATGCTGTCGATAATGCTAAATCGTGTGATAGAGAGTTATTACACGAACTCGTATACATCTTATATATAGCGATATTATAATAATATCATAAGAAAGTATAGAATGAATCATGTTAAATCTTTTCAATATTGCGCAAATTGTGAAAAGATGCAGGTATATTTTGTTTTCCTCGTGTTTATAAAAAGACGATGGGTCTATTTAAAACAATATACGTATATATATTCGAGGAGCTTTACAAGAATATGCAATGTTTACATTCTATTGGAATATTGCTCTAATCTTTTACCTTTCTATGATGAGTCATATACTAAAATAATTAATCCTAAAAAGATTAGAAAAGTTTATATGTAAGATAAAGGATTTAAGCTACGTTAGGTTACCCACATAGCATTAGATCTCCAAAGTATGTCCTAATTTGATCAAAATAGTCCTATTATAATCCAAATGAAAAAGTTATCTATAGAAGTACCTGAGGACATGTGCATTAGCCACAAATTACACAAGATATCTGCATAACATCTGTAGAATGTTCTAGTGTGTTAGTTGATGTTTACTGAAGAACAGCAATACACTGTTTTTTTATGGTGCAATATTTATTTGATCCATTCACATATAGTAATTAGTTTTTGTTTTCATTAATTAGATATTTAACATGTATTGTTTATGTCTGAACAGTTGTTATTCAGAAAGCACAAAGAATATAAAAAGTTAGTCTATATATTATTTGTCCTATAATCCTTTATAATAACATATAATACTTAGATAAATCATTTAATATCTTAATAGTCTAATATTTACTAAATATTTTATATTTTTATAAAACGTCTTTTTTTATTTTAAGAAATAGACTATATATTGTGTGATAGTTATATATATTGTAGAACAGATGATATATCTTATTCGTTATATGCAACACAAATAAACATTGTATTACATATTGTATTACACATACAATAAACATTGTATACACATTTCTCAAATAATAATAAACATTGTATTACACATTTCTCAAATAATAATAAATTAACTTTTTTATGCACACAGATAGACGCACATATTATTATTATATTACCCAGTACATATTTTGTATATTACATTTTACAATGGTATGGGCATTTTGTTCTTGGTACTTTGGAACGTAACCGATCATTTAGCATACCAATACGTTTCGGAAAATGTAGTTTTCTCATTGGATGATAGGCTATATTTTAAATTGCATTGAAACATATGTTCAAACCGTTATGAAATTTATTTATTTCTCTGGTCCGATTGTTTTAACCGAAAAATAAGTTAACGAACAGTTTAATTATATGTCTGTCTCCGTTTATTTCGAACAAAAAATAAAGATAGGCATATGATTTAATTGTTAGTCAATTTATCTTTCAGTTGGAACAACCGGGCCTATTTCGGTATTGCAAGGATAACTTCAGGATATAAAGAATTCATCGCGATATATCTTGTGGATGTCCTTAGCACCACTTTTGATATTTGGAAGATATTTTACGGATATTAGTAGGATCACATATTGTTATGTATACATATCCTCATGACATTCACGTATCACTTCTCTGGATATTTAATGAGCGGACATAGAGACGTCCTCAGTACATCCCATGTATATATTTCGGCCTTTTACGAATGTATTCCGGATATCACTAAATCCCTTGTGATACATCTATTGGACGTACCTAGGATCAAGTTTTGCTATGTGGATAGGTAAGGTAGGTTAGGTTAGGTTAGGTTAGATTTAGTTAATAAATGTATACATTACACTAATTCTAATCAGTCTGTTTAATTCTAATAATATCGACTTTAATATACAAGGTGAAGATTTAGTAGATATTCGCGTACGTTTCAAACTTGCGCACTTTTTACATGCACATGTGGTCATGAAACACACATTTGGCCACGGAGCAAGTTCATGTCGCTATATATCGTCGATATGACAGGTTTTATAACCTAAATAGTTCTTTGCTTAGCAATTAATATTTCACTTTATGAGGCAGAACAACTTTTTTTAGTCAAATTCTTTCGTTTCTTGCAAGAACGCGTCGACTGAGCATAAATTTATCAATATTGGAGGTAAGGTTTCTAAACTGTATAATTGGCAAAATTATACCTAGTTTTATTTAAAAAAAAATGAAAAGACCTTCCTTTATTCCCATAAAAACTATCTTCAAAAATCATTTTATTTGCCAAATAGTTAGTCTTCATGTCCCATTTAATATAAAAAAAGAGAAAAAAGAAAATTTCAAATCCATAACTCCAGTAGTTTCAAAGAAAATAGCTTGTAACAAATTATTTGGCTTACAAGGTATATAATTTATGCAATCTACTCATTTAAAGAATTCATATGTCAAGATATATACTTATAAATATATAATTAACAAGAAAATATATGCACATGTATTAACATTATGATATATTTTATATGATATATGATATATTAAACGAAAAAGTTCTGATTTTTTTGCGTCTCAATTTCTTAAAGTCAATTTTCTGAAATTAACTATATAAGAGTTGATCAGTTATTAATTCCTAGTCAATTAGCCTAGTCATAATACTTACGTTCCAGCTAGCATTTGTAACATTGTGATATACATGGCACAAGTTCCTACTATCTCTTTATATTCTTCGAGAATCATTTTGATCTACTGCTTTTTTGCGATCCGTAACGTGCATGTATCAAAGCTTGCCGATTGTCAATGTTAAATAGACACGCAATTGAATTTAAGTCGAGGTTAAATTAATCGTGATTATCCTCAGCAAAGAAAAACCTGAGAGCGGCCACTGGGCCGATTACACTGGGACGCTTTTTGCGCCGAATTCCGTCGCGCCCCCTAAGAAAATGTTTGCACACTATATCCAGAGAGAAACCTGAGAGCGGCCATCAACGAAGGTTCAGAAATTTTTTTGAATTCGACACGCCCCCTGAGAAAATAGACGTCAACTACGTCGATGTCGCTCGGTAACGAAGTTTGTCTGTAATAGTTTGGTTCATATCTGAGCTACTACAGAATATAGTAAAAGTTATATATATCATCAGGAAGAATCATCAGCAAACACAATATTACATATAATGTGCATGTTAGTTGTAATTTCCTATTCAACAATACAACTGTTATATAACACAAATGTTATATAATAGTTATGAACTAAGATCTTTATCAGTTTTCTTTCAGTATGTATAACAGTCAAGATATGATAAGCAAAATAATTATTCGATAGAATTGTAAATAAGATTATCGAATTTAAAATACCGTATACAAAAAAGTCATTTTCACAATCATGAATAATGCTTTTAAGGAAATATCATAAATGATAACAATATATAAGAAAAATAATATAAAAAACTAATGCACGTTACATGTAATATTGTGTTTGCTGGAATATTTCACGCACTACGTGAATTATTTCGCGTAATTAGGAAAGGAAATTATTTGGTAACTTTGGATATAAGAAATGAATAAATTAAATGGTTTCTTTTTATTTTTATATTTTCAATTTTTTATTTTCTTTTATGTGTGTGTGTGTTTGCATGCGTGCGTGTGTATAGGTTGTTACTGTGTCATATATATATTAATCTTGGGCATTCCTCTGCCTCTTCTTCTCCATTCTCCTCTTGCTCTTCCTCTTCCTCTCCATTCTCTTCCTCTTCCTGCATCTTCGCTTCCACCTCTTCCTCTTCCTCTCCCTGTCCCTCTTCCTCTTCTTCTTCCTCTTGCTCTTCCTAAAACAGCTATTACTGCTATTTGTATAATATTTTATAACCCTTCAGCCTGTAATAAGATAATATTAAAATATAAAGTAAAGAGTTAAATAAGAAGTTACAATTGAATATAATATACTCCAGTAAACATACATGTCTAAAAGACGTCTAAAAGCTTTCTTTAAGACAATTTTTAGACTTGTATGTGTAAAAAATGTCTTAAAGAAATCTTTTAGACGTCTTTTAGACATTTATGTTTACTGACTATTGATTAGCGTCTAGGCCCAGTTCCACAACTTCTAGTTAACTTAACCTGGTTAACTTAAAGCTGGTTGTTTCACTAGACTTGACCAACTGCATTTGACATTAAGAATTAATCAGAATTAAACAATCACTATTGGCATTTAATCAGTAGTTAAAGTTACACAGAGGTTGTGGAACTGGGCTTTAGACATATATACGTAGGTAGTCTGAAAAGTTCTCGACCTGACACATACATAGCATTAGAAACTGTCAAACTATAATTGTATTGAAAAATGGCATCCTTGATATAAACCCATGTAAAATTTTATTCGATCTGTCAAGTCATTCGAGTAGTAGCATCAGTTGAAAAAGCTTTGTGCAAGATGGGTGCCGCATTTGCTAACAATTGACCAAAAATACATTCGAATGCGTATTTCTCAAGCATGTTTGGCATGTTTTAAGCAAAATAAAATGGATTTCAAGCGTCGTTTTATAACTGTTGATGAAACTTGAATCCATCATGGATGGATCATATATACCAGAGCGAAAAGAACCTTCCGGAATCACATTTTAATGATGGTATTGAATTATTGGAAAAACGTTGGAATAAATGTATTGAAGTTTTAGGAGATTATATTGAAAAACATATTTCACAGCAAAAAAAATTTTCTTTCATTGTTACGCCAAGAACTTTTCAGACTGCCCTCGTAGATTTTTATACTTACTGTTAACGTTATCGGCTCGGTCGCCGTCGTGGCCGTCGTGGCTGTGGCGAGCGTCGTGACCGTTGTGGCGGTCGTCGTCGTCATCGTATTAAGCTCGTTCTTAAATAATTCATGAAACATATTTGTTATAAAAAAAGCATTTATAATATATATATAATTAATATTTAACGGTTAAATATATTGTTGTGTCCGAGCCACAAAGTTTGTGGCGACGTCGTTGTCCGTGAGCCTTAGGCATCTGATTTTGACAATTGAGCGAGGATTGTCCTGACGACGAGAAAATCGATACGAAGATAACAAAACAGCTGAGAGAGTCTCTGGCAAGCTGTCATCGAAGACAGACACGAGAATTCAGAATTATTAAAATAGAGAATTATTCTTGTTTAAAGCGTGAGCGAGTTGTGCTGTAAATATTAAAGCTTCTTAGTCGTTACGCGGGTGTTCTTCATTTACCCGAATGCAAGCGCGAGTGTGAGAATGAGCGCAACATTTTGTCGATTTTTTCGTCGTCAGGACAATCCTCGTTCAATTGTCAAAATCAGATGCCTAAGGCTCACAGACAACGGACGTCGCCACAAACCTTGTGGCTCGGACACAACAATATATTTACCTCATTCGCCGACATCCTCGCATATGCACTGTCTAACACCTACTAAGCAACTGACATCTACTGACACCAACTAACTGGAAAACATATGCAGCACGCTAGGCACATAACTGCGGATTGTTTATGATTGCGCGTACGTGCACGCGTTTTCTGAAACAAATAAATCGTATAGGAGCACGGTATAAACAACGACAAAAAAACATACGTTATAAAAGCTATCCATGTCGAATCCAAATAATTTATGTCATGTGAATTCATGCACGAGTTACTTACATTAACACAACTTTTTTCACCACAGTTAACTTGTATAAAAGTTGTCAATAAACTTTACAAGCGTTGTTTTTATCATTCGCTTGACGATTTGAAACAAAAGAAGCGCTATAGCACTGCTGTTTAGCGACTCTGTCGCCGAGAATAGTCAATCTGCGTCGCGAGGTTCACAATAACGTTTGTTATAGCGGTGTTTTGCTATTCGTGCTTTGTGATAAGTATTTTGACCTGAGCTGCAGTCTTTTTTTCCTTCGTGAGATTAATGTTTTACAACATTTGTTTCTAAATGATCTCTCAGATCTACGTGATCTGTCTCTTTTGCAACACGTATTACGGTTTTTTGCCCAATACCATTATTAATAAATATATTTGTATACGCTTGTATTGGTGTGTATACTTCATTGTATTGGTTCATTTATTTATTCTTTTTTTTCCTTTTACGTGTTGCTTTTTTTTCCTTTTTCCATTTTTCTCTTTATTCTGTCATTTTTAGTTTCTTACTTTTTACATATTTTTTCTCACATATCTAAAATTATTTTTTGCACTGCATTGCAAATAAAAATATAAAGACTATGTTGACTCCAGAAGATAGCTTTTATAACAGGTACATGTATAAAGATTGTCAGAATAGAAAATCAACTGGAAAACGATTATTCAAATTCCCAATGCAGAAGGATGCAAGATATAATACATGGATACTTAATACAGGTAGATCTTTCTACAATAATAATTTTCTATATAGAGGAAATGCGGATAATAGTACGCATTTTTTACATTTAATTAATTGTACATTGTACAATTTGTAACGATACGACATACTTACTCCAAACTAACACTGAATATGAAGTGTTATCTGCTGTGTACTGACACTACTAAAAATTGAAATTGATATAATTTAATTAATAGTGCTTCAAATAATTAACAATATGAAATGCTGCAAATGCGTACTCTTGGACAACCTATGAGATAAGAGTACGCACACGAAGTACTAGGATACGTATTTTTTATTCTATTAATTAAATTAATGAAATTGATTAACCCTTTGCGATCGCCAGATTTCGAAAAGATCAATAAACATTAATATCTGCAAGTTGATCTAAACATTTGAATCTAGCATCGGGAGAATAGTTTTCTTTCATTATCGCTAGCCTCGTTCGCCGTGCCGCGCGCCAGATGATCATGAATGCCAGCTGCCAGCCTGGCGGCATCGACTTCTATGACGACTTGCGAATGCCGCCACTGTGGCGGCATCGACCACAAAGGGTTAAATGTCATCCTGACTTACTGCGGTTACAAATCCTCGCCGTTCTATATTTTTGCGCTTGCATTTTGATGATCTAAAACTAAAAGGAGCCGCTGAACTTCTTAGACCTAACGACGATATCGATATCGCGCGACGCATAAGCGGTACGCGAGGATGACCGGCCGGTCAAGACATATACGCTGCGGCGACTACACAGACAGACCAAAAATGCTCGCGACAACTATTGTCGGGAAATCATTAAAATTTTTTCCTCATTTAATAATTAATTAAAAATATATATGTTTATGCGTGTTTAATGATAATATGACACAAAGATGCGCTCCAGCTGATTTCTTATATAGCGACGGACCTCAGCGGCCCGTGATCGTCGCCTCGGCCGCTAAGCGCGGAACGGCGCACAGTGGGAAAAAACTCATTTTTTGGATAAAAATCTACGGATATTGCAATTTTGATTGCTTCTTGTACGTTAGAGAAAGAAGCGACGTGGTAACTGTGCGAACCTAGCACGTTGTACTTTTATTTTTTATTTTTTGGGTGTATTGTTGCAGAACTATTTTTTTTCGTTATAGAGAAACTGTAGAACTATCAAAAGCGCTATTAGAACTCTACTTGTTTTTTTCATATTGATAGTTTGACATGTTAGCTTCACAGACATGCCTTCCCGCTCCTCCACGCGCTCCTTGAACGCTTTATTTAAATTGATTATAAGGCCTTCTGAATTTTTATTTTTCATTTTCTCGCGAACAAAATTTTCTTACTTATTATACTTTTACCTAATACTAATGTGCATAAATACTTATCACTACGAGATGCAGCTAAAAATTATATTTACACGTCAGATCCTTCTCTTGTAATGCTACATTCAAGTTGAATATAAGTTTTTTCATAATTAGTTTCGCAGCCGTATAATGCTATATGCAAAATTTACAGTCCTGCAAAAGTTCGGAAGAGTCTTCTTGTATAAAAGCACAAAAACTGAATGACACAACAAAATTAAGGGTAATGACTAAATGAGTATACGAATTGAGGCGCTGGCCGAAATATCGAAGTTGTAGGCATGTCAAAACAGATCTTGTATATTTGTAAGCATACTGAAGCATTTTGTATAGGGTTGTAGGCACGTTGTTAGCACTATACAGGGTGTTAAATTTCAAACATAACAGGTGAAAAATCTCGAAAACTATGAAAGATAAAAATAAGCTAAAACATGTGTTCCATGATTTCGAAGGGGAAAGAGACTGGCATTATCAGTTTTTTATTTGGAGAGTATTTTCAAGGTCAGTTGAAGGTCAATTTAATTTTTTTTAATAGAAAGCTCAATTTTTCATTATATCTTCTTTTTCTACCAATTAATTTTAACAACTTTTGTTTGAAATATTTTTTATTTCCTTAATATTTTTTGAAATATTTAAGGAAAACTTGGTAACTTTCAACATTTAATTTATGATATCTCGGTAACAATTCGTCGAAAGAAAAAATAGTATTAGACTTTTATACTTTATTTATTATCAAGAATATATTATTATAATAGTGCCCTAACTTTTGTTAACTTATCGACCTTTGGAAATTTCAAAATTATTAAATTAACAAAAGTTAGAGCACTTATAATAATATATTCTTGAGACTAAATAAAGCAAGAAAGACTAGTACTACTTTTTCTTTCGACAAATAGCAAGATATCGTAAGTTAAATATTGAAAAAGTTATCTAGTTTTTCCTCAAATATTTCAACAAATATTAGGCAAATAAAAAAATGTCTTAGACAACAGTTGTTCAAATTAATTGGTAGAAAAAAACAGTGTAATAAAAAATAGGGGTTCCTATTTAAATTTTTCAAGTTGACTTCCAAATGACCTTGAAGATCATGGCCAAGATCAAATTCAAGGTCACCATCAAGTCCGTTATTCAATTTTCTACAACTTTTGTATTTAAAGTTTTTCATGAAAACTTAATTCTGCAAAATTATTCGGGGGGTCCGGTATTTTTAAGGCAGTCTGTATATCGATAAATTCGATATTAAATGCTCTTAAATTTTTGTCCTTATAAAAACTTAAAAATTTGCAAAGGTAATGGAGAGGAGGGAGGAGGAGGGGGTAAAATATTGCATTTTGAAACATTTGAATAGACCGGTGGAAAGAGTATAAAATACTATAAAACTTTTGTCTGAAAGACTTTTTCATATACTTCATATTTTAAGAGATATTAAATAAAAACGAAAAAGTCCGTTTTTTTCAAAGAGTTTCGATCTCTAAACATCGAGATAAGCACATAAAAGAATACATATCTAATGCTTTTTGATGCTCTATAAAATATCTAATGCCCATCAAAATCAATGAAGGACGGCCCCGACTCTTTCCTTGTCAACGCGTAACAAGGCGATCATAATCAGTGATAGCAAATTTCAGCCTAGCGGCTCCGCGGCCACACGCAATGGGCTAGAATATCTCTAAATGTAGCCAAAAGTCAATATCCGCATTGATCTAAAATAAAGTTATTTTGTATTTAGAATGTTTGAAAATAGTTATAAGAGAAATGTTATGTTGTGTTATGTTGATTGGATTGTTTTTTATCAGTCTTAATAGGATGAAATTATAAAATACATTAACACTTTTTTTCATTTTCTTTACTTTATCGTTCATATTTTAAACAATTATATATTATTTTTTGGACCTTTAGTTAACGAATATGATGAGCGAAGATCAAGAATGAAAAATATATAAAATTGGAGGAAATAAAAATAAATTATAATATATTACATTCTCTTTTATTACATTATTATAAGTATATTAATCATAACTACTCATTTCCGATTTACCATTCCCCGTAATTTCACTTTCAAGAAAGAGCATTCTAAGTTATATATGCTGTTTATGATATATATTTTAAAAAAAAGTTTTTGCTACTTTTTGCTACTTTTGTTACATAACGTAAGCAAACATATGTAAACAAGTCATCGCCTATATCTAAAGGTCCGTACTGTTACACTGCGATATTAATCAGCAAGTCAGTTGAACTAGGTTGAATCTGCTTTCACTGATCATGAGTAAGCTGTTTTGCTCAGAGTGCGACAAGGCGAGCATAAACGGGCTATCTCAATCTCGCTCAGTGCGCCAAGCGCGTGACAAAACAAAGAAAATCGAGTGGTGGGGGTAAGCGTCGACCGTGCGCCTAAGAATTTCCAGCATTACTTGTGCCTGTGTTGCGTGTCTGCTCACTAAAGGCCATTGCACGTACAAAAGTTTTAGTCGTAATCGTAAGTCCGTAAGCAAATTGACCAATCACAATCCAGCATCTCGAAATATACGAATTGTGATTGGTCAATTTGCTTACGGACTTACGGTTACGACTAAAACTTTTGTACGTGCAATGGCCTTAATGGTGAGATAAAGTCAAAGCGATTCAATTGTTATCCTTCTCTTACTCATTTATATATATATATCATTTTCACTATAGTCTGTTTTAGTAGCTGGGACATTAACCAGACTCAAATCACAGATATAAACCTCGTATCATTACCGAGACATCAAGTTAGTTGACGTCTATTTTCTCAGGGGGCGTATCAGAATAGACATATGCTTTTGCCCGGTGGCCGCTCTCAGGTTTCTCTCTGATAAAAGACGGCAGAGATACTTGTTGATTGCAGAGAGGTTTGTAGGAGGAGGAGATGTTCGCAGTTGGATTAGTCGATGATAGGTCAAGGATTTGATTGGATAGGAAAAGGTATGGTGAGTTTTGGTGAGAAGATAGGGAATTTTAATATGGAGGGATATGTTACAAGCCATTACGACCGAAAATAAAGCCAGCGGCACACGATGCTTGTTTTCGTGCTAGATTGCTTGCTGGATGAAAATACTGCGTTCTGTTTGGTGCATTTCCATCCATTTTCGGAAATGTACCAATCAAAACGCAGTATTTTCATCCAGCAAGCAATCCAGCACGAAAACAAGCATCGTGTGACGCTGGCTTAACACTTTGTAACTAGTAGTTGCCATTCTTTGCAACTCTCAACTGGGTGTTTGCAACCTATTCTGGACCAGCCTTAAGCTCTAGGTGATTATTGTTCCTGATTGATTCGTTCTTTTGGATCCATAAAAAATCTAAAAGAATACTCCAATCATAGATAATTACTACGCGCGTTGTAAGTTGCTTTTTCTGCTGCGGCCAATGTCTAGACAGGACACGTTAGTTGATAATTCATATGAGTTTCTATTCTGATATTTGTGCAGTATCATTGGCGGAATGTTTCAGGTTTGTTGTGTCTCGCATGAAATCGGATGCTCTTCATTGTGATCCCGCGCGTTGTTCGCATTCTTCGTTGAGAGACGTGCATAGCCAGGATGCCGAAGAGAAAGAATCAAGCCCTCATAGACTCCGATAGTAGCGGCAGTGCGTCGGAAAGCGGCTCGGACTTGGAAAATGTAAATAGTATAACCTTTAGCATAAGAGACGCATGACGTTCACTTTTATGTCTGTCCTGCAATTTCCAAAATATTTTCTATTCTTATTGCACGGCTTCTTTTTATTGCACGGATAATTGCGAAATCGCTTGCTGCCGCGGCTTTTTCTTCAATTACCGGCCAATCTTGTTGGAAATAACTTGGCATAACCTATGATAATATCCAATAAATGAATATGCCTTCAGTGAAAAATAATATGCAAATATGTGACGTAATATGCTGTAGCTTCATTACGTCGATGTAAAATGCGATATATAACTGCATTTTGTGAGTATATGATATAATTTTGTTAGGGATAAAATGACTCAAGACTGTTAATATTTATTTTTTAAAATGCTTTTACCATGAACAGTATACAGTTAGTTATGTTTTTTCCATCTTCACTAGGATCTATTATCATTGGCAAAGAAAAAAAAAGGAAAGTCTCAAGATGACTCTCAGTCAAATGAGGATAACAGTTCTGCCAAGAAAGATGTTAAAGACTCAGATACATCAGATTCTGATGATAACTGGAGCAATAAGGCTGGCAAAACAAAGAAAAAGAAACCACCAGCAAAAAGAAGCAAACGAAAAATGACAAAATCTAGTACAGAAGATAGTGCTAGTGAAAAAGAACCTGCTAAACAATTTTCAGAACCAGAAGAAGGTATTTAACATCTATATTTTTATGTTATAAATATGTTCTTATATATATATATATATATAAAGTTTCTTTTGCAAGTATTGCTATTATCACAATGATAAGCAATAATATAATTATTTTATTATAACAGGTGAGGTATCAGATTCTGATGCAAGTGTTTCTGACTCTAGCCAAGAAGAATTTAATGATGGTTATGATGATAAACTTATGGGAGACGCAGAAGATCAAGCTAGATTAGCTCAAATGACAGAAAAGGAACGTGAACAGGAAATTTTTAAACGAATTGAGCAACGCGAAATTATGAAAACAAGATTCGAGATTGAAAAGAAATTGAGAATGGCTAAAAAACAAGAATTGAAAAAGCAGAAGGAATCAAAAAAGAAGGAGAAAGGAATTGAGGAAAAGAAAGTAGATAGAGCACCAGATCCTAAAGAAAGAAGTAAAGATCGTAAAAAAACAATAGAAGAAAAGCAAGATAAGAAATTTCACGCAATGTCTTTACTTAAAGCCAGACGTGAAGAAAAGAAAGAACGAGGTAAATTATTTTAAAAATTATTTTTTTGACAATATTAATGCAATTTTCCTTTAATTAGAGGAAAAAGAAAAACAAAGGATAGAACAGCAGCAACAACAGTCAAAGGATATAGAGGAAGAAGAATTGGAGGATGATCATAAAGGTGGAAATAAAACAAAACTCAAAGCATCCGATATATATTCTGATGATAGTGGTTCATCGGATAGTGCGGAAGAGGAAGAAGTAACTAAACCAACATCACAACGCAGATCTTCTTCCAGTGAAAGTCGCGACTCTGATTCTGACAACGATAAAAAGTCAGTTTATTATTGTGCAAGTAATATTTTAATTATGTGATAAGTTGTATTCATAATATGGTTATATATTTCAGATCGGTTACAAGTAATAAAGCCAAACCAAAAAAACCAATATATATCAATACTAAAGAAGATTTAAATAAGATCCGATTATCCCGTCACAAAATGGAAAGATTCGTTCATTTACCATTTTTCGATAGAGTAGTACAAGGTTGTTTTGTCAGAATTGGTATTGGCAACAATAACGGCAAACCTGTCTATAGAGTAGCTGAGATAAGTGGTGTGTGTGAAACAGGTAAGATTTATCAACTTGGTGGCACGAGGACGAATAAAGGACTGAAATTGCGTCATGGAGCGCAAGAACGCGTATTCAGACTGGAATTCGTCTCGAATCAAGAATTTACGGATTCGGAATTCTTTAAGTGGAAAGAAACGTGCGCACTGCAAGGAATATCTATGCCTACTTTCGACGAAGTAGAGCAGAAATTAAAAGATATTAAAGAGGCGCTGGTATACGAGTTCAAAGAAGAGGACATAGAGAAGATAGTCCGTGAAAAAGAAAGATTTAAGCAAACTCCTTATAATTATGCAATGAAAAAAGCGCAACTCATGAGAGAACGCGACGCAGCTAATTGTAGAGGAGATGACGAGACTGCTAGTCGTCTTAATCAAGAATTGAGCGAATTAGAAGAACGCGCATCGGAACTGGACAAAATGCGTACAGCATCGATTTCTAGTATATCGTATATTAATGATCGTAACAGAAAAAGAAACGTAGAAGAGGCTGAAAAAGCTATTATGGTAATTATTAATTTTTCTTAACTGATACTTATTACCTTACTGTAGAATAACATTTCGACTGATTAATTGAAATTATTATAACAGGAAGAATTAAAAGCTAGTAAAGGTAAGAAAGTCGACGACCCATTTACTAGACGAAGCACTAAACCGAGGATGGTATACAAACCTGAAGATGAAGAGACAGTAACTGCTCCATTAAATGATAAATCGAGTCCTCATCCAGCCGGAGACTCCGTATCAACTGTTAATGATAAAGAAAACGAACAAGATTCCAAGAAAAAGCAAAGTACGGAAGATCTTTTTAACGCGCACGATTTTGACATAACAATAGATTTGGAAGTACCTATTCCAAGTAAGTTATATATCCTCTTTTTTAGATAATAAAATTGTGAAATTTTGCTTATAGATTAATAGACAAAAGAATTTGGCGCATAATGCTAACTCTATAATATATATATATATTATACAGAGATATAATATACAGGGTGTTCATTTGAAAACTTTCCAGCTAATTATTTCAAAAACTATGAAAGATATTAAAAAAAGCTAAAACAGGTATTCCACAACAGGTGATTTTGAAGGGGAAAGAGAATGGCATTATCAGTTTTTTATTTGGAGGGCATTTTCAAGGTCAGTTGAAGGTCAACTTAATTTTTTATAGAAATTAATTTTTGAATAGAAAGCCCAATTTTTTATTATATCTTCTGTTTCTATCAATTAATTTTAACAACTTTGGTCTGAAACATTTTTTTATTTGCCTAATATTTTTTAAAATATTTAAGGAAAACTTGGTAACCTTTTCAACATTTAACTTACGATATCTCGGTAACTATTCGTCGAAAGAAAAAAATAGTATTAGACTATTTACTTTATTTACTATCAAGAATATATTACTATAATAGTGCTCTAACTTTTGTTAATTTAATAATTTTGAAATTTCCAAAGGTCGATAAGTTAACAAAAGTTAGGGCACTATTATAGTAATACATTCTTGATAGTAAATAAAATAAAAAAGGCTAATACTATTTTTTCTTTCGACGAATAGTTCGCGAGATATCGTAAGTTAAATGTTGAAAAAATATCAAGTTTTCCTTAAATATTTCAAAAAATATTAGGCAAATAAAAAATGATTCAGACAAAAGTTGTTAAAATTAATTGATAGAAAAAGAAGATATAATAAAAAATTGGGCTTTCTATTTAAAAAAATTAAGTTGACCTTGAACTGACCTTGAAAATGCCCTCCAAATAAAAAACTGATAATGCCATTCTCTTTTCCTTTCGAAATTATGGAACACGTGTTTTAGCTTTTTTTAATATCTTTTATAGTTTTCAAATGAACACCCTGTATATATATTATACAGAGTGTCTGAGACAAGCTATCAACGCTTCGTGTGCACATAGAACATATTAAACTGAGCGATAGGACTTTACAAACAATTACATAAAATTTTGAGTTATTAACGAAAGAAGATTGATGAACCAGCGCACGTGATGTGATAGAGCAAATTTTATTGGCGCGATTAGATAGAAAATAACCACACGATTATTTTTTAGCAGCGATCATTATTAGATGACTGCAGTTTACATGCTGCTCACAACTTCGTTTTTCTCTGTCATTCTCTGTCATTCGATACTAATTGTTGCTAAGAGACAATTGCATAGTTAGCCATTTTCCATGGATCCGCGTTGATAGAGTTTATTTCACCATATCACATGCGCTGTCTCGTCAATTTTCCGTTGTTAATAGCTCAAAATTTTATGTGGTTCACAAAATAGTAGCAATCTTATTGCTTAATTTAATGTGTTGTATATACACATAAGTACAGTTTATGTCAGACTATCTGTATAGTGAAAATAAATTATATTGATATATAACTTTCTTTTTTAGGTAATCCTGTTAGTGTCCTACCAAAACCTATTAACAACATCAAGGACACAGGACCTCGCCGATCGCTAAATCTAGAAGATTACAAAAAGAAACGTGGTCTTATCTAACATTTCATATGCTTTAGATATTGCGAGAAGATACGATAAGGTTAAATTGCCAAGATTGTCATGTAGTAATGGATGATATCACTTTGTTTGCTGAATTCCCCGGTTAACAACAAGAATGAAGATATGTTCTTGTAACGATTGACTGAGAAGCTAAATTATTTATAACATATTTGTAGTTATATTACTACTATTGCTATTGCTACTATTATTACTACTATTATTATTATTATTATTATTATTATTATTATTAATGACGACTCCATCTTGCTGTATTTAACACGTTGAGCATATGAGATTGATGGTAGGCTAATTGGTGATGGGGTGATTGGTATGTTAGTTTTGCAGATACAGATTTAGCTAATATGTATTGTGATTACATAATAAATAAAGACATGTTATCGAAATTAATAAATATCTAATGATTCTAAAAATATCTTAATTTGATATCAGCTAACTTTCATATTCTTATGTAGAGATTCTTATATATTGAATAATATCCACTGTTAGCATTCGTTTATCATAACATTCAACGTGTTAAATAGTATGATGGTTCCAACTAAAGTTAAACTGTTGTTCCTATTGATATTTCGGATAATGAAATTGCATGATTGTCGGAACATATGAGTAAGTAACAATGTCAAAGCTACTTTCAAATAGTACTTAAGATGATGCATATTACCATTACTAGATATCGAAACAAGTATGACGTTCTATTTTGTCAACCAATACTGTAGTACGATCATACATGTCATATTCGAATGAGAGAAAAAAGAAATATGGAGAGAGACATGTTTATATTTAATAATGAAGATCATTAACTAAATGATTAGGAAATTTAGGAATAATATTTAAAATTAATTACAACTAACGAATTAATTACAAACTATCATTTTATTACAAATTAATTACAATTATAACAAAAGATTATTTTTTGTGTAATATATAATAGAATATAAGAAAAAAACTTTTACTAAAAAGTTATTTGTTCTTACATCTTAAAAAGGAATGTGAAAATGCATGTATAACACATAGCTAATAATATTATACTACTTTGAATATTTATATATAGTTTTAATCATTTATATTTGCACACATATATATTCAATAAGTAATTTTGCTTATAAATTTTGTTGATGTACAGTATATTGTCATTTTTGTCATTGTCAACATCATAATTTACTGCCAATACAATTTCAGAACATTTTATGATATAAAATTAATCATACATGATTATTTTAATGTTTATTATAAATTTGACTATATATTTTTATTGTTTGTAGTTTTAAGTCTTTTACGAAGAGTAAAATCAATTTTGACTGTACTTTATATCATACAAACAAATAATAGTTTGTAATATTCCGATGAAAAAACAATTGACATTGCTTATACTTTTTAATTTTAATTAAAAAATATGTCCTGTAAAAGTCATCTTTGGGGAGACCTAGATATTACCTAATTTCTTACGAATTTAATTTTGTCGAAAATTATTATTTCCAGTATAATAAATATATTGCCATTTTAAAATCAGGATATACGAAGTCTGCATACGAAATAATATATATTTACGAACATTATATGTAAGAAAAGCATATGCTAAGTGGTAATTGTTTTATTTTATCACTGTAAAGAAGATACTTTCATTATTTGTCAAAATTATATATGTATATACAGGGTATCTAGGATTTTTGAAAACAAAAAATTGTGAAGATTAATCAGATCAAACTGAGAAGTATATATCATTTTGCAAAAATCGCAATAGTTATTAAGTTATTATATATGATTGATTAATTAATGATTGAAAATTTAGAGGTTCTTTTAATTGATAACTTGAAAATTTGCGTAATTATTTGCAAAATGGTAAAGGACTTTTTTTTGTTCAGAATTACCTAATCTACAATTATATGATGGCTATTGTATCTAGCAATAGATATGAATATATTGAACTTTGAATCCTGAATGTTAAACCTGTCGCTAGGTATTTGACTCTTCCTCTCAATTTGATCCGATTAATCTTCATAATTATTTGTTTCCAAAAGATCCGATATACAGGATATCCTATATACATATATATATATATATATATATGCAGTTTTGACTATATATTTTGAATACACACACGTGTGTGTGTATGCTGTGGGTGTATGGATGTAGGTATATATGTATGTATATGTATATATGCGTGTATACATACGTACATATATAGACGTGCGCAGTACTTAATCTGGATAAGAAGCTTTCAGTATCATTATATGCTTGTTTGTTATTTTTCTGACTGAGAAACTTTTTTAATAAAACTGTAATGATGTAAGCAACGACCGATATTTAGTGATGGTAGGAAGCAATCTATCTTTTGTATAATATATTAATTATATGAAATATTTGAAGTAAACAGTATATCGAGTGCTAAGATGATAGGCACGTAACGTTTGTAATACTCGGAAGTAACATGAAACGAATAAGATTATGAAATAGATTAAATTCTTAGGAATCATTTTTAGAAATGTGTATAAGATGCGTATATAAACAGGACTTATATATAATATATTTGAAATGCATATGTATTAATAATTTCTTAACATATTGTCAATTGATCATAATGTAACTTGTGTTTTATTAACTGAGCATTGTTGATAATTTACACATTATCTTATGTTTTAAAAAGAATGAACACACGGCCGGAAATAAGGACATTGTCTACTTGGATGAAAATCACTGGTCAATAATGTGTGTTAAATATTGTGTGTTAAATGTTTTTTATCGCGTTATTATAATCTTACAATTAATTTTTATTTTTATAATATATTTCTTTATTTAGTTAGTTTATTGAAACATTTATAAATTTTTGTCAAATATATTGTTGCTGCAGATTATGAAAAGATCTATTGTTTATGTAAGAAATTAATTTTTTACATAATACGTCTAATGCTCTTACGCGTATAAAAGATGCTATAATTATGTAAACTATAATTATTAACAGTATTAAGAAAATATATATACATGCCTAGAATTACTTTACCTCCATATTCTTCATCACCATTAGATACCAATGTAGTAAATATATCGCCGAATTTTTTTATGAATAATAAGTTAAAGATTTTTTTAGGCAGCAAAATATTTTATTAAAAAAAAAATTGTATAGTTGCTCGTTATATTATGACTCATATGTTTTTGCATCCATAATTAGACTTAACATTAAGTATAAGAACGCGATATTTGTCTTTTTGTTCCAGGACATAAGCAGGTTTGATTTTTCGATTCTGTGACACTCTTGATTCTGTGTTATCGGTTGAGTAACTTGATCGGAAACGCCGGGCAACGGTGTTTTGGAATATTCTGTTAAGACTCGATGCGCGCAGTCGCGATGCGAAAGATTGTCGTACGCCGCTGCCCATATAAGGCAATTTCCCCACGACCCTGGCGACGATTGGACTATACTACCGGCATGTCCGCGTCAATGACTAATTCCTCCCGAATTGCGTGTTTCATGGTTCTATGAATCGATTTTGCGTAAATGCCAGGTTGGTGATCGATCTTTATTGTATCTTTCACACTACTTGCGTAGCGTTCTCGCTTGTTGCAACATGGACGAATCAATGCTAACAACATATGACGATATTACCATATTACTTGTAATATTCGTACAATGCGAGTATTGCGCGCACGTATTATTCGTTCATTCATTTATTCGTTCGTTCATCCATCCATCTATCCATCCATTCATCCATCCGTTTATCCATCCATTCATCCATTCATCTGTTCATCCAGCCATCTATTCATCCATCCATCCATCTATCCGGCCATTTATTCAACCATCCACTGTCTATATGTACATCTTAATATCAGTAAAGTTATTTTGAAAATGTCGAATGTCGAGTTTGCCGTTGGATCAGCGAATTTTACGCATTCACGCGTGCATTGCAGAACAACGCACGCAGCCGGCGCGGGACCGCGATTTTTGACGAAGCGCGACGGGATGCAGACGTGCTCCAATCAGCACAAGCCGTCGTACGGTGCTGCGCGCGCAGGCGTAGGGATACAGGGTTCGCGGGGAGAAAGAAAGATAGAGCCGGCTAGCCGCAAGAGAGGAGCCTCCCTTCTCGTTTGTCCGTAAGCTAGCCGCGCGACCCTTTCGACTGGACATTGCGCTGCTATCCAGTTCCATCACATCAGGATATTACGGGAAAGTGTTGGTTAAAGTGCTTGTTCACGTGATTCTGCTCACCGGCTACACGGCTTCGTACGAAAAATGGTAAATATTCGACGAATCGTATACGTATAAATGCTGTGTCTTGAGCATGAGTTCGCGAACGCACACGACGAACTGCATCACGTCGCACCACAGCTCGAACGACGACGGGCGAGGCCACCCGGCATCCGTTGACTTTTTTGTGGTTATGGCTGTGAGCAGACGCGTCGGTCGCCATTTCTGTCTAAGGTCTGACTTATGAGAGAAAATATATCTCGTCATCTAGTATAGACATTTCGAGTGCGATCGAGTATGCTGATCGTGCTGTGACCTCCGCGTCGTAGATATGTTCCGTTCTTGACGACTGGCCACGTATCATGTTCGTTCGTTCAGCGCGTTCGTTCTATCCTTCCGATCGACTCAAAATAGGGACGATGATGATAGTGATGATGACGATGACGATGATGATGATGGTTGACTATTGTTACTATTATTATTATTTTATTACTATACTACCACCATTACCACTATTACTGTTACCATTACTATTATTATTGCTACTATTATTAATTATGTGAGCACGTAATCATTGTAGATCCAAGAAACGTATGATTCATATTTACTTCAGAGAGTCGGCCGACTAACCAACTGATATCTGTAACGGCGGAAAATCACGGTGTGATCATACGCAACATGACATAAGGTCGTGCTTTTGTATATCCGGGCGATTACATTTTCACATTCTACACTATCTCTCGCTGTACCGCTTTCTTCTTGTTTCCCTTTTATTGTCTTCTGTCCGATTTGAGTGGTGCGGCAGATTGTAACCGGTGCGAATGCGTACAGTTGAATATTTCTTGACACTATGACCATAAAAATACTTGTTTCGGTATTCCTCGTCATATAAATAAATTGCTTCTTGTAAATATTAACTAAATTTAACCAACTCGAGAATTTGTCACTTTTATCTATTTCTGGTACTTTCTATAGATTCTAGTAGTACATATAATATTTCCTATACGAAAGAAGACACGATCACATAAATTCCAATTCTAATACTTGTTGAATGTTCACGAATTCACGTTTGTCGCATCGAAATTGCATGGTCGAATATTCATAGCAGTGTAATGTTCGAACGTCGCGATGAACGTTTCGATAACACTCACGGACGAAAAAGGTAACGGCTCGCCGCAAAGGAACGTTGATGACTCGATTCATCGTTCGTAACCGTAACGTCTGTGATGCCGCGTTTACACGAGAGCCTGTTGCAGGCAAACGAGTAGCGAATCGAGCGGCAACGTATTTAATCGCATCTTTTCTGTTATCTGTTGCTGAAAAAAGCTTGCTCGCGGCACGCCCGAGTTCATTGTATCTAGTATATCGTCTGCGTCAAGCTCAAGTTATGAATTACGGTATATCATGTCTTTTAACAGTGATTTGACAGCAGTGTCTCTTATTTTATTTCTTTTTAGAATAATGAAACGTTTCTGAGAGGATCAGTCAAGAATTTGACATTTTAATTTTTATCCAATTTTATTCTTTATTACTATTTTCTCACCGGTCATTTCATCATTTTGAATCGTAATTTTGCTAGATACTTCATACTACGATCGAAGAAACTAAAAATAGTTGTTTTGATCTGCAGATTGGTAGATTTTGCTCTTCGCGC